AGCACATCGTTCCAGGAAGACTTCGTGAAAGAAAGGAAAGAAGGGCAAAGGAAAAGGCAAGTATGGCAAGAATGATGGAAAAGATGGAAAAGGAGGCTCCATAGTAACTTGCACCGTTGCCGCTGGGGAGGTGTTTCGGGGCTACTTGGCTGGGATGAAGGCGTGGGCTATAATTTCGATAACATCATGCGATTTCACTCCTGTATTTTCTGCCGCACTGGCAAAAGCTGTACAGCAGACACTGCGGATCTGATCGGATCGGTAATATCAGAAAACATGTACACCTGCATTGAATTGGCATTGACAGCACGTCCTTTCGGTGTGAACTTTGAGCCATTCGAACCAAAATTTAGGGAACCCGTGAAACTCGGGGTTTTGGGATCTTTCTTGAACAATTTGAGCCAACAATTAGGGCAGCTTGGAGTTTAGGGCTTTGGGTTCCTGTATAGGGCTATATGATGTTACGTTATGCGTGTTGGAAGCGCCCCTGGCGTCCCGGCCTCGTGCCCGATGACACTGATGCGAAGTTTGAAAAAGTCAGTTGTTCAATCCGATTAAACGTATATTTCCCATATAGAAGAAAATCAATAAGTATTTAGACCCTTGAAAATGAATCAATAGTCGTACTCGGGCAGCATCAGACAGGTGACGCGAAAGTTGCAGCAAGTCAGTGGTTCAATCGATTCAAATATATTTCCCAGATATATAAATGCTTATATGATAGAGCACACCTTGTATAGGTCAACGATGATAAACCATCGCAGTCGGACAGCATCACAAAGGTGATACGAGCATCTAACCTAGTCAGTTGTTCAATACATAGCTTCAAACTCGTATTTCCCAAATACTTATGCGGGGAAATCCAATACGTGTGTAGCCCACCGATGATAAATGATCGCACTCAGAAAACGAGAGTCTGAACAAGTCAATTGGTCAACCGATGCAAAATCATCTTTTTTCCGCCGTCGGCAGCTGTCGGAAGTGTCTCGGCTGTACACGAAGCAGCGCTGCCTCACCAGAACACCCCAAAACCTCGAGTGGTAGGAACCACCAGGATGCTCACCACCCTGCTGTAGCCGAGTCCCCCTCAGCAGCGGAGCTCAGTCCAGCTGCATGGGAGGGTACCCAAACATACAGCGGCAGAGCACCTGGGGCCCTCCACTGCGCATCCCAATGCCCTCCTGCTGGAAGGATCTCATAGGAGAAGCACAGCATTCCGGAGAATGAACGATACACGTTCGTGACTGGAAAAGATCGACTCAGCGGCAGATGCGTCTACGATTGCAAGCTTGATTGAAGCTCTTGCATGAGCTTATGAATCTGCTCCATTCTTTGCACGTCTCTGCCCTGAGCCTTTGTCATCTTGATCGCTTGCTCATAAGCTGCCGCTTGGAAGGACAGGAAGAAGGACTTGCGGATCCCGTAGACATGGACTGACTGCTTGACGACCTCCAAGCAAAGCCACCCCAGTGGGATGTAGAGCACCTCATTTTTGAGCAGGTTGATCTGACGGACCACAGCCTTCTTGGCAAGAAGATCCTTGACTGAGTCCGTGTCCAAGGCTTTCAATGCCTCGAGGGCCGCATTGATGTTGTCAAGGTCCGTAATCTTTTTCATGTCATACAGCGCCTTAAGGGTGGAATCGAGCTCAAAAAGCACATGTCGAACGTCCCCGCTTGCCAACACCTTCAGCATGCAGGCCCAATTTGGAAGGTGGGCCAAAGTCTTCATGTCGTTGCTGCAACCATACATCCACACAGACTTGTGGAACGATCCACCTCCGGCAACACTGCTCGAGCTCAGATCGACGAGGCCCTTATCCACCCACAAGGCCATGGCCTCAAGAAAGCACTCCTTGCCCTGCTTCTCCTCAAGCGGGTAGGTGACGCATGGTGTCTTGGTCTGCGCAAGTGTTCGCTTGTACTGGGCTCCCCAAGATGCCAGCGTGTTCTGGAGTGTTTTCTCACCCATGCACAGCTTCAAGCCTTCTGAAGCCTTGATGACCCATGGGTAGCGCCAGTCAGCGTCGGACATCTTTTTAACCTCACCTTCAGACTTCTCCGTCACGGTGTTGGCAGCGATGTCAGCCGTGAACAAGGGTTCAGCCGCTGGCGCTTGCACCCGCCTCTTCTTGATCTCAGCCACAGCCTCAGCAGCTTCTTGTTTGACTTTATGCAAAGCATCTTTCTCCTCCTGGGTCTGCTTGCGCTTTGCGGCACGATCACGTGCTGCAATCGTGGACTTCAAATGCTTGATCACGTCGTCGGAGCTCTGCTTCAATCCTTTGGCAACGCCTTGGATAGCCTTCTCAGCTTTCTGCCACTGCTGCTTCATTTCAATGAAACTCTTGGCGTCGGTGGCATTCAAGACGTCTTCTTGAAGCTCACGAAGCCTAGAGATTGGCAACAGATCATCTGCTTCCCCAGGCCAAAACTGGGACTCCTTGACTCTCTCAGTTTTCAGAAAATCCACAAAATGCATCTTCTTCTTCATGGCGATCAAGTCTGTGACCTCTATCTGGCTGTGTCCTGTCATCGCTGAGCCTGGCGTGGGCGGGGCGGCCTGGCCGGGCTCGGACTCGGACTTCGGCACTTTCTCCGGGACCAGAATCTTGATATCGTTCAGGTCACCTGCAACTCGGGCCGCGGCTTCAAGCCTCCACTGAAACGTGCGCATATATGCAACGGCCGCCCGATCGGAAGCGAGGAGGTCTGGTGGATGCTGGCGGTACTTCTCAGCGGTGACCTCGGTGAGTTGCAGGGACTTGTTGAGGTCCGTGCGGAGCTTGTTGATGCCTGACTCCATTTGGCGATGCAGAGCCGGCCTTTCTCGGTCGAGGACCACGGCCTTTTCCTTCTTGGGGGTGTCGTACTCTGGGTCTGATGCCTCGGTGGGCTGGCGCTTAGCACCGGCAGCACCGGTCTTGACATCTCCCCGCTGATTCTCGTTCATGCCAAAATGCGCATCAGCAAACGACACGTCCTGGCGCTGCAAGTGCTTCGAAAGCATCTGCCGGGTTTCCTGGCATGGTGCTGCGATGTTGTTGCTTCCTTCGACAATCTTGTTCTCAACGAAATGTTCACGATCATTGAGTCTCATCCGGTGAGCCGGAACATACAACTGCTCAGCCCCACGGAATCCGCCGTGGTCACGGGACACGTTGCGGTCGTTGTACAATTCCTTCCACCACCTAGGTTGAAGCAGGCATGGAGAAACATACATATCCACGACCATGCAGGAAATAAAACACGAAGACATGTGAAGCAACCACAGCAGCAGCGACAGACAAAAAAACAACCAGCTAACACACAAACAAACCCACGGCTCAATGCAGGCGTGCAGGAGCGGCAGCACCAACCAGCAAACAATCAAACAAGCAAACACAGGACACGACGCACAGGCCACCAGGGACAGGGGGTCCAAAACGGAGCCACGAGCAAAGGCCAGGGGGTCCCAAAAGGGAGCCACGAGAAAAGGCACCACAACAGCAGCAGCAACTACAGCACCAACAAACGACAACCACAACAACAAGAACGAAAACAGCACAGAACGGAGCAGCAGCAACAACAACAACGTTCAACAACAACAACAACAACAACAACCACAACCACAACCACAACCACAACCACAACCACAACAACAACAACAACCACAACCGCAACCGCAACCACAGCAGCAACAACAACAACAACAACCACAACGACAACCACGACAACCACGACAACCACGACAACCACAACCACAATCACAACAACAACAACAACAACAACATCAACAACAACAACAACAACAACAACAGCAGCAGTAGTGACAAAGAGAACAACCAACTAATGCACTGGCACTTATTGCATCAGTGATTGCATCCGGGGCACTCCTGAGCTTCGGTGCTCGTGAGCCCCAAAACCTGCATGACTAAGAGCACTCAATCTCTCAAGTTGATGCAAGAGCGCTCTGGGAAGTTGACCGTTGAGTCATGCACTGGCAGTCGCTCCAGAAGCTCAGCGAGTCATATGAAATGACAGAAGAGAGAAAAGGCAGGCTGCGAGGATGAGGCTTTACATGTCTCAGCAAAATGCAGACCAGGGGCATTGTCACAGTGTTTGTAGAAGGCTCTCTCGGTCATCGGGACGTCTCCACTCTGCTCGTGCGCACTCACTCTCACGCCCTTGCTCCGTTCGAAGCGGGCGAAATCGAAGAGGGTCTTCTTCCGGAGCTCCGGTGGACAGTCCTTGACAAACTCCAGGACCGTCCTTCCGGCGAACTCGTCCGACTTCATTTGCGCGTCAAACTCCGCCTTCTGCTGCTCCGTAATGTCTTTCCTGCTTCGACGTTGGTACATCAAATTGTCGAACCCACGTTTATGGTCGTTCTGACTGCAAAACCTGCTGCCAGGGTATTTCGGCCACTCACAGCCTGGGCAGATGCACATGGTCAGCGGCTGGTTCTTCTTGCCGCGACCCCCACGTTCGCCAGCATCCTTGTCCTTGTTGCTGTCCTTGTCCTTGGCCTGCTTCCCTCGTTTTTGTCCCTTGCCCTTCCTGGGCGGGGTGACCGGGTCTTCTTGACCGGGCTCTTTTTTCGGAACAAGGCCCATGTCATTATCATCCGGGAAAGCTTCTTCCTTTTCCGGCTTCTTGTCTGAATCTGCCATTGCTTCCACAAGCAACAGCCGCAAAAACTATGAGCTAAAGCCTGCCTTGCAGTGCGACTTGAGATGAACGTCTCGGCAAGCGACAAAAGCATCCGACCACCAACACAAACGCACATGTACTGCAGCACTGCTTACACATACATGGCAGCTACCAGAACACTAGACTCACTAGACGTCTCAGAACCTGGAGGCCACGCTCGTCCCTCACTGCTGCTGATTACATAGTATAACGCAAAGCACTACACACACTCGCTGCCACAGCCCACGGTCTTGCTTTCTGCAAGTTCACGGATGCAGTCAGAGGGCAGCGTCAACAGTTTCACCTGACTCCGCTTCCTCAGACGGTGGTGGATCTGCAAAATCATTGCTTCTCAAGGTGTGGAAAAACCTCATGGGTTCTCTGCGAGCGGTGTTCGCAAAGACGTAAAGATACCACGCTAGAATGGCTGGTACTGACTGTGAGTTTCCACTCAGAAGATGGCACTGCCGGTTCGGCAAAGTCTTGACAAATTCAGCGCCCGGCCAGTGATATTCCTGGCTCAAACTCGCATAGGTGTGGAACCCCAAAGACAGGAATCTGTCCATGGAGAGGGCAAGTCTCGCAGAGCCAAGATCAACAATGGTCCCGTGAGTCAAGAGGGTAGGGAACCGGGCCCCACAGCTGGGTCCCCCAGAGTCCGGCCAGTGGTCGAGATCGGCGATAAACGTTCCATCATGAAGAGATGCACGTTCAGGCTGCAATCGACTGTACGCCTCGAGTCTCTGCAACTGGTGCAGTGTGAGTACCTGCTGAAACATGCCGGGCCCGGAGACGGGGACGTCCTGTGCAACCCGGCCCATTTTGTGCATCTTCGCAGCAATCCAGCGCTTCATCTCATCCTCAGGAGCTTGGAAGAACACACGGCCTGTGAGACAACAGGAGCGGCCGAAAAGAGATTCGAATTCCTGCTGGATCTCATCTTGGCTGCTTGGCCCAAGCCAGACAAGCTCTTGCAAGGACAGCCCAGCTGAAAGTTCACGATCCCTGTTGGCTGGCCAGCCTAACAACCTCGGACCTATCGTAACGTGAACGACTTTGTGACTAGAGCTCAAAGGGCGCGAAATCATGCCTGCAGCATCGAAGCCGGGGGTACATTCTTGGAAGAATAAAGACTCAGCGCCCCTGCTTGCTAGCTGCTGTCGCACTGCTGTCCAAATGAGGAAAGTCAACTGGGACTCATGAGCATGGCCGGCACGCTTGCCGGCAATGCTCCATGCTTGACAGCAGTTGCCAGCTGCATTCACTGAGAGGCCACCACCTTCCGGTCGTTTCTTGTGGACGATGCACTCACAATTGTGCTTGACGCAATGCGACACATGGTCCTGGCATGCCATGGCAAGCGAGCAGAGAGTGAAAGAGAGAGAGAGAGAGAGAGAGAGAGAGAGAGAGAGAGAGAGAGGAAGAAAAGAGAAAGACAAAAAGAAAGATAAAAGATCAGAGAGAGAAAGAGAGCGACTATACACGTGTGTAGCAATATACACATAATATCACATAAGGCTATGCGTGTGTGTGTGTGTGTATATATATATATATCTAATGAACATAATACTACGTGCTATGTCACACGGATGGATTGTATAGAATGGCCCCCTTGAACCCGAGATCCAATACCCTGAACCTTGGATGACAAAGCCCCGGTCCTGGCTGACTGCCCAGTTGCCGTTCTCTTGCAACCAAGTCTGAATCTCTGCGAAGGCCTGAGGTCTCACCTTGGCATCGCCCAAGTCGCACTGGCTTATCCAACTTTGCGCTAGAGGAACAAGCTGCTTGTGGATGTCGTCAAAGACACAACTTTCACCATCATCCAGTCGGTCGGATAGATGACACAGAACCTTCTGTGCCGCAGAATCGATGTCACAGGTACGGCCGAGCTTCTGCGGAAGCATGACGCCTGTTCGTTTCTGCACAGCCAGCGACATCAGCCGCAAGGCTTCCCGTTCGGCACAAACTCCTGAACAATCTGTGGACAGGTGTAAGCCATCACTCAACACGTTCATGATGCGGCTTCGGTAACCCTCTCTTGCAAAGACAACGTCCAAGAGTTGCTCAGGAAAGCTGAACAACTCTTCCACAGAACTGGGGCCTGTTGGCAAGATTTGCTGCGCTATTGTATCCTCAAGAGACCCTTGCCTTCGCTTTTGTCTGCCAGAACCGAGCACAGCAGCTAGGCGGTGAAGGGAGCTGTCCTCAGACCACATTTCCTCAAAATTGAAGGACATCGCTTCCCTGGCGGCTGCTACACGGGCCGGCGCGGGTCAATCGGTCTATCTTACTCAACAGACTCAACAGCCCCAACGACAACAAAGTTCAATACAGCACAAGCCATCCTATGATACCTATGAACCCTATCAGACCCTATCTTGATGATCTGCGATGCGTTGAGAGCCTGTGTGTCGGCTGTGGCTGGAGTCACCTTCAGACGCACCTATGTCGTGACATGTGGAACTGGAGCACTTGACACTGGCAGTATACTCAGTCTACACAGCAGAACCGCAAGCTAAGACAAGGTAAGACTCACAGATATTGCCAAGGCTGAAACAGTTCGACGCGCCTGGCCATTTCTGAACGGAATGGGTGGAGAATGAGCAAAACAAGAGCACTGGAGTCACTACAGGGTTTCGATCGTTCACTCAGCTGCAAACAAGGATAATTAGATCCAATTTGATCCAATCCAAGGATTTCTGCGGCCAGGCCCGTCTCTGGAGCGGATGTGCCCGCGCGCACGAAAGCGCACGAAACGCACGAAATGCACGAAAAGGGCGGTGCCTGCCGCACGAGAAAACACAAGCGATTAGCAGCGGAGAAGCCTTTCCAGCCTGTGGATTTGGAGCCCAGAACCATCCTAAATAAGCCCCACACTGGGAATTTTCAAGCCCCCAGACAAGCTCCAGAGCCGTTGGGAGCCGGATTTGCTCGAGGACCCGGTGGCCGCACGAAAGCGCACGAAATGCACGAAAGGCGCTCCCTGGGTTTTGTAGGAAAAGCAAGAACTAATCAGAAATTCCAAGGCGGGACCAATAATAATCCGAACTGCTACGAAAACCACCAAAAACCAGAATTTGGCTATTATTTGCTGCTCTCACGCGTTTTTCGCGCAAAACGGTCCGATCAGTCACCAAAGAGTTAACGCCGGTCTTCCGGACCCCCCAGTGGCCCAAGTACCGCAGCCCGGCCCTTAGCACCGGACACAAGACCTGAGATCTAAGCAAAGCATTTGCACGCCTTTTTTTGAGCGCCTGGCGGAGAGACTCTGGCGACTGTAGTGCAAGGCAGCCACCTCCGATGTTTGTTGCTTGTTGCCTTTGCAAGAAGACCTGAAGTAACTTGGGTAAGCAGGTTGGGTGAGGGGGGGCCACCACCGGCATTGGAGAAGTCACTACAGAAGCCTAGAAATTCCTAGAAACTGTTCTGAGCACGGACCTAAGACAGTGCGTGCCTGGGTGCAGATCAGACAGGCAAGAATGGAAGATATTGACCCCACTCAGCTGTCACAACTGGGCTGGCGGCACAACATCTCCATCTTCCTTCTGACCTCACCAACGTGGTTCAAAGCCAGGTTAAGGCATCAGGACACGGCAGCATCCAGCTCTGCGACGCTAGGCATGCTGTTGATGTTGAAGGCAGGAAGCACACGCTCATTGAACGGCTCCAAATGCTCTGCGGCAGTTGCCACTTCTGATCCGAGAACGGCCCAGTACTTAAGCGCGTGCACCACTGCTGCACTGCCACCGAAGTTGCAGCTCCGCTTCTTTCTGCAACTGTTGTCAGCGCTGTGGCCTTCGTGGCCGCATGTTATTTGCCAGTGCTTCGGAGCGTCCTCAGGTCCTAGGGGCGTAAAGAAATGTGGACCCCAGTGGAACCCAGGATTCCTTCGCCTCCGGGGACGTGCATCTACTGGGGCAGGTGGTGGTGGGTCGTGAGGCTCAGCCTGGGAAGAGCTGCTGCTGCTGCTGCTGCCGCTGGAACTTGAGCTCCTACTGGAACTTTCAGAAGAAGATGAAGAAGAAGATGAAGATGAAGAGGGCGCTGAGGCCACTGCTCCGTCTGAGTCTTCAAACATAGCTGCCAACTCCTGTACCAGTTCTGCTTCACTGTCCTGACCCCCCAGGTCATGTTCCTCAGTCTCCACTGCAGCAGCAGCAGCATTTCGGCGAGGTGCTGCCGAACCGGCTCGTCTTTGGCGAACACGTCTGCCCTGGCCTCCCACGTCACCATCCACAGGCCAGTCATCACTGACATGGCCCATCTTTCGGGCCTTTCGCTTGGCTCCACCCGGTCGCCGGAGGGACTCATCGCCCAGCCCCAACAACTTGGCATAATCTGCATCATCTGCCACATGTGGCACATCCTGCTCTCCAGTAAGTAGGAGCAAGGCCAACAAGTACAAACGAGAAACAGTGGCATGTTGCTCTGCAGTGTACCAAATCTTAGGATCAGAAGCCTTCTGTGTTTTTTTCGATTTCTTCATGGCCTTGTACTCTTTCTTGGAAACAACCTCGTGGCGCCAGTGCTTTGCATCCATTTCCAGGATCAACTGGAAGCATGTTGCCTCTTTGAGATCACCCTCGCACCGTCTCAACAATGGCCGCTCTGAGTGCAGCACGACACACTGTTCAACACGGCTCTTAGCAGTTTCAGTCAAGGTCCATGGCGGCCCAACAACAACCCCCTCCCCAGCCAGAATATCTAGGGCTTCGACAATGTCAGGGGAGGTTTCCGAGTGCACTGCGAGACCCTCCGGCGCACCCACCAACTCTTGCAGAGCTTGAGACACCGGCGTTCGCAGATCGGCACTCACGGTTGACATGAGTTGGACATCAAAGCAAGCTCCCCTAGAGTCAGATTGTCCAGATACAAAGCTAGGCCAGCGTCGCTAGCAGACGACAGGGATGCAGGCAGAGCACCTTTCAGTGACACGGTTGCCTCACGCCTTTCCGGATCCATCCCCATGATGCGGTGAAGTTGTACAACCATGACCCCGCTCAAAGAAGCTGCCTGATGCACTTTGCTTCCCCTGAATCGAGCTGGCTCAGTGTGCACAACAGACCAGAACAAGGCCTCCTGGGTGACGACGTCACCAGCACCTTGCAAGTGCCTCCTAACAGGCACGGCAAGGTTTGCCTCAGGCAGAGTAGGCCAGGACAAGGCAAGCTGCTCTGGAGCATCCCATGTCAAGTGGGCGGCAACTTCACCCCTAGAAGCAGAGTGTGGAGCAAGCAACCCACGGAGTTTGTACAGCGCAGATGGCACTAAGGACATCGACAGGTACATTCTTGGTTTCACCAGTGACTTCAAGTCTTGCAGTGCATGCGTGCGCCGCACAACTTGCGACTGCTCTGCGGCCTCTTGCCTGGGTTCACGCTCCTCTTGCCCGGGCTCACGCTCCTGCATAAGCTGAAGCCGAGTCTCTTGCATTCTCCGAAAATTCACCTGCCTAGGCAGATCCATGGTGTACTTCGTGTATGGATCATCATGATACAACAGCGCGATGGTTTTGTTGCTCTGGCGTCCAGTCAACCAGCCGGCCTTCGTGGCATGCTCCACACACAAACCCACGTGCTTCAGAATAAGTTCTCGGCGTGTCAAGAGCGAGAACTTATGTGCCAGCCCCGAAAGTTGGTCTGGGTGCCTTTGCAAAAAATCTCTCAGCAATGGGAGTCTGTGACAAAGACTGACATAGGGGGCCCCATGGTTAGTAGCCTCTGTTACGCCCTTCTTGGTTCGCGCATGCTGCCCTTCAACTCTCCATGCGCTTGACCAACACAACGACATCTCCGCTGCCAAGGACGACAAGAATGGGAAAGACCCCTCCCACAGTCCGCCCCCGGCAAGGAACTCCGTGCACTCACCTTCATGAGCTTTCAACTCCACAACTCGTGGGTGAGTGGAACTGGAATCCAAGCATCTCTTGACGGCTTTGCATCTTTCAGATGGATCGCAGTGCGCTAGAGCTGTCAAGCAATGCGGAGGCTCCGCCCAGAAAGACAGCTTCAAGATGTAAGTTGAAAGAATGTACTGCCGTCCTTGCTCGAAATCTGTCAACAATCCCTGAAGCTCTTCCTCGGTCAGGCTGCGTGTCAACCTGGATTGAAGAAAGAGTGTACTGCGGTCGAGCAGCCCTTGAACCACCTGGAAGAAGGCACCTGACGACAGACCGGCGCAACGCCGGCCTCGCAGAGGGCAGTTCTCCCAAACACGTTTGATGTCCACACCTACATCCTCTTTCAAGAGGTGTGAATGACAATCGCAGCCATTTACATACTGGGTTGCAGAGGCCTGAGTTTCAGCGATCTCTCGCATGACGTGCAAACATGCCCACCAATGGTCAGAGGTCAAAGCTTCGTTGGCACCAGGCAAATGAACGCCATGTTCATCACCCTGCAAGTCTTCTTTTGGTTGCGAGAGGGCGTGGCCACTTAAGTAGGTGCTCAGATCCCAGCATGTCCGAAGCGCAGCTTCCAAGTCGTAAACAGATTGGACTGCAAAGGCTATCGTGTTCCACCTCTTCTCATGAACCTCGCACTGGAACTTTGAAATCTCGCTAACAAACCCAAGAGCAAGACCGGAACTGAAGCGTGTAGCCAGCAATTGCCTTTTGGATTCTTTACCACCCACAAGCCGACAGACCCTTTTCAGACCTACCAGAAATGGACGGTACAGAGACATGACCCCTTCCAAGCCACTTGTGATGTTGTGTATTACATGATTGAGGTCGGGTCCTTCAAGGCACCTGGACAAGTCGCAAACATCGTCGTCCTGCCCTGGCTGTGGAACGGCTTCCTCAGCAAAAATATGATCATCATCAAACAATGGCCCGACTGCATCACCATCAACGAAGACGTCCGGATGGTCGCGAGGGACTTCTCCCTGCTGTTGTGGTGGCAGGTGCATGTGTGGCAATATATCCGTCAAAGAACTGCTGGCTGTCTTTGCTAGCAAAGCCTCTGCACCATAGTCAGTGTGTAGAGATACGATGGACCGAAGAAGCTTTGCTAACATAGGCCGTCCATCAGCTAGAAGACCAAATGCATGGCTGAACACACGAAGCTTTGCTGCTGCATTGGTACGTCCAGCAGCTAGCATGGCGGGTGCTGGTATGTGCCACAAAATCTTGTCTGCAATGGCTTGCAGCAAACTCTTCTCTTCATCTACCCGACCGATCCTGGCCTCCACGTCCAAGGTGCAGAACTCGTCTTGGAGCTTGCGGAAGTCCTGCAGAGCGAACCGCAAGAGCACAAGTCACCCGGGCAACCGCACGCACTGCACTGACACTGCTGCTACCGCACTTCGGCTTTGTTTGTTTGGTTTACAAAACTGAGATCTAATAGGCTCCGATTTGGGACACTCCTTGGTCTTGCATGAGCGATATATAGGCTCCGAGTTGGAATAAACCGCAGTTTATGCAAGCTTTACAGGATTGAAATACGAAGATCAGCAACTTCAGGTGACCAGTGTGCTGGTAAACTGCGCATGGACCCAACATGACTGGACAGATGCAAGAAACACATTTTGCGGCGGAAGATGCGTGGCTGCAGAGCAACAGCTGATGCAAGACATCGGTGGCATCGCCCGCCCATGTGCTGCAACTGCAACACGTGGCTAGAGTCTAGAGAGCAACAGCTGATCTAGGCATCGGTGGCATCGCCCCCGCATATGCTGCAAGTGCAACACGTGGCTGGCAGCAACAGCTGATCTAAGGAATCCGTGGCATCGAACCCCCATGCTGCAACTGCAACATGTCAGTCAAGCTGCTGAAAAAGCCTGCCATCACCTCACTTGCATCCCTCGAGCGGCCACTGCCACTGGCTTGACCATGGCCCCGGCGAGGTGCACTTTCACGATCATGGCGCCCCTCATGCTGGTCTTCACGATCACGATCCCAAGCGGGCGGGGACCGCTCTCTCAAGTGGACTCCTGGGCGCTTGGTCTGTCTGGCTTGGCGAGCCATGCAGTCGCCATACTCCTGGTGTTGCCACATCGAGTTGTCATTGTTGGCGACCCACTTCCCGCACTTCGGACACTGTGCCTTCGCCTCTCGTCTCCGTCTGTTGGTGCCCTCTCGGCCCTCTCTCTCAGCTGCCTTCTGCTGGCAGCGGGAGCTGGTCTCCTGATGCCACTTCAAGACGGCTGGGTCCTTGCTTTTGATCCACTGGCCGCAGATGTTGCATGTGACACCGAAGTCCCGTGGATCGAGCTGGGATCGGTGCGAATCACGCGGTTGCCACCCGTGGTGGTCCGGTGGCGCCCGCCCACTCGCCCAGGTTTGCTCCGGCGCCCTGCCATCTGTCCAATGAGCATCTCGGCCAGCACCCTCCCAATCAGGCTTGTCCTCACTTTTATCAGAGCTGTCGTCCCTCTCGCGGAGGTTCTGAGGCACAAAACGAGGAGACCCGGAACTGTCACTCCTTTTCTCACTTCCCCTGGAGTTGACATCAAGGAATTTGACCATGGCAGCAGACGTACAAAGTCAACTCAGCACTCAACCGCTGCTCTTCTCAAGCCAGAATCTGCAACACAACACTTGGTCTGGTGCTCATGCCACAATGAAGCATCAGATCACAACAGCTAAAATCTTTTGCAGCATGCCGCAACGTGGATTTCAACTCTAATGGGCGGACTGCACAACTGCACGCACGGATGTCTGAGCCCTGCGGTCCTTGAACAGTTCGTCGAGGTCCTTGTGCCGGACGATGTTGAGGATGATCATCTGGTACTGTCTGCCGGCCTGGGCAGTGGCATCAGTCTGTGCAAAGATTGAAACGCCGCCCGAATCCAACATGCCCTTGAGCTGCTCCCTGAACAAGAGCATCCACGCCACGTCAACCTTGAACCTGATTCGTGAAATTGCGCTTGCGCTGGGAATCCTCAGCCCGGGCCCTTCATCGCCACGAATGAACTTCAGAGCACTTGCAGACACATCTGGCGGCAGAGCAGACTGAACTGCTAGCTCCAAAACTGGTCGTATGACAGAATCGCTTCGCAAAAACCCTGCCAGGAAGAAGTACTGCAGCAAGGAACCCACATGGTAGCGAACACGGAAAGTGCCAGACAGATGCAGCCGTGATGAAACAAGGTGATTGTCTTCTGCATCTTCCACGGCACGAGCAGCTGCCAACAAGTCCAGAAGCAATGCATCACGTGTCTGACCCTCACCAGGCCTGCCTCCCAGAAGTGCACGGCTAGCAGACTGCAAAACACCCTGCAAAGCCTTCCTGCCTGCGCTGGTAAACACTGAAAACTCCTCCGGAATCTTCTGCACGACATCCCCGCTCGCTGGTTGAAAAAACAACTGTGAAGGCAACTCCGAATTTCGCAAGCACTGAAGCCGAATACTGTTTGCATCGGGAAAACAATTCCAACCTGCCAGCAAACCCAAGTCATTCCTTGCCAAGTCGGGGATGGCTATGTACCTCCAGTGGCCTTCCAACACCAAAGTCAAAATGGCCCGTGGCAACCTCAGAAGAACAGAAGGATGATGTCCGTCCGGGAGCAGCCCCTTCCACCAGCGAAGCTGTGCTGGCGGTAAATTCATCATGTTATTCGTGAAGAATTGTTCACCCCATGACTCATTGACAGACCCAAAAAACCGCTTCTTGTACTGACGTCCCACAAGCTCTATTGGGACTGGCAAACGTAAGGGCTCTAGCGCTACAACACGAAAATAAAACATTTTGCCGTGCAAGTCTGTCTGGATCAGCTGTCTCCAGGCTTGCCTCTGGGTTTCCTCACACTCGGTCAGAGGAAGCAGTGCATGGTGCTGCGCAGATGGCTCCAAGGCCACCAAAGCAGCAAGGTGACTGCCGGTCGGATAATCCCGAGAGAATCTCTCCAGTTCGCTCGACAAGCCTCTGTGCAACTTGATTTCCCGATCCAAAAACAGATCCTTGCATCTGCTGACGGCTGCATTAACCCGGAGACGTGTGTTTGCAGGAACATCAGCAAGCCAAACCGCATAACAATCTGTTCCCGCTGCCATCTGAGCTCAAGCAGGCATGGGCAACCACAGCTCAGCCTACTGCTGCTTCAGACACTTCAGACAGGCTGTTTAGGGTCCGCTTTGATCCGTGGCGGGCTGAAAAGCCTCTGCTTGAGGTTCTGGAGTCTCGCTTTTCGACATCAAAGCTTTGTTCTGGGCCAACTGTTACGGCAGCTGGCAGCAATCGCCACACACGAACATGTGGACTGACATGCCTACGAAAACAACCTCAAAGTCCGGAACCTCTCTCTCTTTCCATGTTAGGGGGTCTTCAAGTCGATGCCAAAAAGTCGCGCAATGGTCAGATGCTCTGGTAAACATGACGAAACTGTACACCGGCATGTAGCTCTGGAACCCCAAACGTAGCCGCGCAAGTTACTAAGGCTCCAAGGATGGAGCAGCCAATCTTGCAGATTCTGCCCAAGGCAGCGCCGCCATTGCGGCCGCCACTACCTTCTACACCAACCACTAGGACTTCAACAACCTTTCCTTTATGGCCAC